GCCCCAGCCGGCTCGGTGCTGGAGCACCCCTCCCGTGGGGAGCGCAGCCCCCCGGGTTCGCGATCTGCAGCACCCGTGGAAGGCCGCGGGGGGTGTTCCACGCTGAGACCGTGCTCCCACACCACAGTCAGGGAAGGGCACTTCACGCCTTCGTTAATCACACATTGCTTTCAAATCCCTCGCCTTATTTAGCCCGTGTCGGTGCTGGGTATCCCAGACGGATGGCGGCTCTTCCTGGGTAACTTGGCAAAAGCAAGCACGCCCTAAGCAGCCCAGCACAAAGCCAACAAACAGGGGTATCAACGCCTGCTGCTATTTCTGGCCATGCTATTGTGCTCGGAGGGCTTTTCCTTGCATGCTTTCTTGGACTCCAGCTTGCGGCTGGTGGCAGGGTACCAGCCCCTGAGGGCTGTTAACGTGCCCACCCAAGCCCACGGTTGCTGAATTTTCCCCCCGTCCCCGGGAGCTTCCCCAACCTGTAGGAAAGGGTCTGAGGGGAACAGTTGCCCAAAGCCGGTTTTAATGAATGTCCATCTTTGCTCTTCACCAGCAGCATGGGGCAGAGTAAGCCTCCGAGACAAACTCGGGGTGGATAGTGTAGCTGCCTCTTTGGACTCCTCCTATCCTCTTGAAGTGGCTCGTGTCCCACCTAGGAGAGCAGATAAAGTTATCAGCCATAGGAGGATGAAACTCTGGTGAGGAAGAGAAGACCTGCTTCTGGCTGCCAGCATTGCTTAGGGGCAGCAGTGGACATGCAGCTGACCCCACCCACTTTGGGTGCTGAGGCCAAAGCAAAGCCCAGGCAGAAGAGCTGAAGCTCCCTGGCATTGCCATCTCAGCAAGCTGCTTCCAGTGTGTCTCCCACCCTGCACACACCCACTCTCTCTCGCAGTCATTTTCCTAAAACCTTCTAAACCTTCTGAACAAACCTTTCCTAAAACTTTCCTAAAACCAGAGCCATGCCAGTCCAGGAAAATCTGCCTGTTCCTCCATGGAGAAGACCTCAAGAAAAATCTCAAAGAGGCTCAGGCACAGGGACATCTATGGGGAACCCAGTGCTCCCTGTTTGTTCTCATCGTTGTTTGGTTTTAGTTTCTGGGTTCAGGAATTTAAAGCTGATCACCTGTTCTGCAAAGCCTGACACCCAATTTTGGCCTGCAGGGGGGTGAGGCAGTAGCAGGGTGATGACTAAGCTGGTTGAACAGCCTCCCCTCGCCCCTCGCTGCTTCCCCAAGGCTGAAAAAAGCTGCCTCAGCAATGGAGACATCCTAAAAGTAAACATGTGGGGATTAAAAGGAGCTGCCAGATCTGCAGTGGGTGAAGGGCAGGGCTGGTTATGGCATAACGAGCAACGTGACCAGGGAATAGGTTCTTGGATCAGAAGAGCAAATAATGACAACTGAAAATACAAGACCAGCACAAGAGACACTGATGTGGCTCCAAAATCTGGGAGATGCTAAGCTACATGCAGCTGGGCTTGGGGGTGCCAGCAAGATTTCAGGTGCCATACAGTCCCAACAACCTCTGGTTGAGACAAAGCATAGAAACACCTGTCCTGGGAGTAAATTTGGCAACTGCTTCTCCATGGGTAGCAACAACACGCTCCGCAGCCCAGCACATCAACTGTGTCCTGCCCTCCCTGGTCACATCCACTTAGATGGAGGTGCAGTGGCTGCATCGCTGCCTACATGGGCACCGCGGTGGGACACACTACGCCTTGGGGTCTGCAGCCTGCACCATCATCCCCAGAATAACCCTCTGAGCAATCTTGTGTGAAACCCTAATGAAAAGAGCTAGTGGTTGGCTGGCATTAGGAAAAAAATAATAGGCTTTTCCCTAAGGGCAACTGGCTTGGAGCACTCCCCCCACTGAACCTGTCTGCACCTAGGGTTCCTGTACAGGGAGGATGGCTGGAGTTGGTGTGTAGATGTACAGAACATTGCTCCAGGGCTGTAATTGCAGCATGGGATACTCCTGCAAGAGACAGGTAGGGTGAGCAGTGGCCCCAAGATCAAGCGAGGTCATTTCCATCCCAACCCAATCCAAGGCAACCATCCCATCCCATCCCATCCCATCCCATCC